TGGGTGGGTTGGTGGGTTGATGGGTCGGTTGGTGGGTGGGTGGATGGATTGGTTGGTTTGCCAGCTGGCAGAGTGGTTATTTGGCTGAGTGGTTGAATTGCTGGTTGATTGATAAGTGGGCTGTTTGGTTGGTTGGCTGCTGGCAGACTGAGTAGCTGGCTAATTGGTTGGCTAGGTTGGTTAGATAACTGACTGAGTGGTTATTTGGCTAATTGGTTGGTGAGTTAGTTGGTTGGTTGTTTAGTTGGCCAGTTGACTGGCCGGTTGTTGGTGGGCTGCTTGATTGATGACTCATTGGTGGGTGGGTGATCGTCTGACTGGTGGTGTTTTGGTTGACTGGTTGGTAGGTTGGGTGGGTTGGTCAGTTTGCTTGTCGGTTGGCTGGTTGTTTGTTCAGTTCGTTGTTGGTTGACTGAGTCTTGGGTTGATTGTTGTGGAGGGTGACTGTCTGGTTATTTGGCTGGCTGGCAGGTTTGCTGGCCGACTGGTTGATGGGTAGGTGGGTGGTGTGTGCACAGGAGTGAGCCTGTGATTGGGGTGGGGGTAAATGGAACATAGAGCTCAGTGATTTATTTGCAGGTTGTGGTATGAGGAAACACTTTCACCTGAAATGTTGGTAAATTCTCACCCTTCATGTTCTCTTCACAGGAGCTGTATCACCAGTCTTACGACTGTGTCTGCGTCATGTTCGCCTCCATCCCAGATTTCAAGGAATTCTACACAGAATCGGATGTGAACAAGGAAGGCTTAGAGTGCCTTAGGCTCCTGAACGAGATCATTGCCGACTTTGATGATGTAGGTACAAGATGTGCCGGTGATGGGCAGGGGTCCCAGCAGGTGGGGAGCTGTGTGGCCACCTACCCCGTTTCCCCAGCCACTGTATCAGTCCATCTAATCTGGGGTCTCCCTCTCCTGCTCTGTCCCTCCACCCTTCCGAGCATGATGTCCTTATCCAAGGACCAGTCTCTCCTGGCCACATGCCCAAAGTACGTGAGACAGAGCTTCAAAATCTTAGCCTCTAAGGAGAGACTTGGTTTCACGCTCTCCAAGACAGACCTATTTGTTTTCTTGGAAGTTCATGGTGTGTTCAAGACTCTTCTCCAGCACCGCAAATCGAAGGCATTTATGCTTCTTCTATCATCCTTAGTTATTTTCCAACTTTCTGATAAATAACAAGTAATTGAGAAGTAATTGGCCTGGATTAGGCGCACCTTTGTATCTAGACTGACATCATTGCTCTTCAGCACTCTGCAGAGGTCCATGACAGCAGATTTTCCCAATGCAATTAGTCTTTTGATTTCTTGTCTGCTGGTGTTAAGAGTGTTCATTGCTAAACACAGCTACCAAAATCTACAAAATAAATAAGCCACCTGCCTACTGTGCTAATACATTTTGAAAAGGACTGAAACTCCAGAGAAAACACTTGTTCCTACCATCTACACACATGTTCATTACAGTATATTATTAGCATATCTCCGTAGTATAGCATGAGTCTGTCCACTTGCTGTACAGAGGTAACTCGTAGTTGTTGTGATGCTAAACACTGATGTGTCAAATGTGATAATGGTTACCCATGGTGGACAGTGTTTGGTGGAGCTCCCAATTAAAACAAGGTTGGAAGCAGGAGTGGCATCCACTTCCACAATAGCTTGCCTCTGGAAGCGCTATGAACGTGGAGAAGCAATGAAAGTTACACAGGTGACCAGGTCTTTTGTTCACAGAATCACGATGAGTCATCTACGACTGGACGACACTTAACAACAACAAGGCACAAAACAAGTCTTTTGTCATTCAAGTTCTTTTTTAAAAAAACATTTTTCTTGGTTTTCATATAATAATTCCTTTACATTATGTTTCATTGATATACATTGTGTTTTATACAATCTTTCATTTACATTGTGTTTCACACAACCATTCATATACATACTATTTTACATTCTTTTTAATTGGTTTGTTTACAAAGTTTATACACATTGCCTTTCACACTATTCTTCATTCACATTGCATTTCACACGAACATCCTCATGCATTCTTGAACTATGTGTGAATGGCGTGGTTAATTATTGAAAAAATAATGTGCCCATAAGACAACACCTCATATTTAGAAGGACTGAGACACGTGCTTCAGAGTTTGGGTGACTTGTTGCGTTTCTGTTGCGTTTCAACCTTTAGTAGTCTGTTCATACTGAAAATACTAGATTTTGTTCTGTGCCGAGAGCACACTCCTCTCTGGTTTTGAGGCTCTCGGTTCTTGTCATTCTGGGATTGTCAGCATCTACGTTTCTGTTGGTGTGCAGCGTTTCCTTAACTGATTATTCTAGTAGTTGTACACCTGATTGTCATGGCTGACATTTAGCACTACGCAGAAGTGGTTCTGAATTCGTCCATGCTGCGCAGTGCTTTGTGAATTCTTGATCCTCTCTTGTTGATCCCTTTGAGTCGAGCGCGATTCACAGTGGCCCTGTGAGCAAAAGGCCTGAAGCCTTTCTATGACTATCGACATTTATCAAAGTTCGTAGAGTTATTTAGGAAGTGAATGCCACTTCTGCTGCATGCAAATCCATTGTTTGACCATGTCTCTTTTTTTTTTAATAAATAAAAAAATAATGCTTATGTGTTACACAAAATCTGTACTTGGGCCAGGAAGCAGTCCTCAGAACAGAGCAAGGAAACACTGCTGGGTTCAAAATTCAGGAAGGAATGCATCAAGGAGGTGTCCTGTCTCCACACCTCTGTATGCAGAATAGATCACTAGGGAGGCTGGGCTTTATGTGGTATCAGGATTGGAGGAAAATTTATCAACAACCTACATTACTGAGATGACACAACCTTGCTCGTTGAAACTGAGGAGGACCTGAAGCACTTGCTGCAGAAGGTCAAGGACTGCAGTCTTCAATATCGATTGAGGCTCAACGTCAAGAAGACAAAGATTCTCACCACTGGGCCAATTGGCAGCATCCTGATAGATGGAGACGAGATTGAGGTTGTTAACAGTCACAGCTTGCCCGGCTCCATAATCAACAGTGTTGGTACCAGCAATCAGGAAATCAAAAGATGACTTTTCTTCTGCTATCAGGGACCTCTCCAGAGTACTGACAAGCAATGATGTTAGCCAAGAGACTAAGATGGGCCTGATCTAGGCCATTGGCTTCACAATAATTTGTTATGCATCAGAGAGCTGGATAATGACTAAGGATGACAGAAGAATAATAGATCCCTTTAAGTTTTGGTGCTGGAGAAGAGTCTTGAACATAATATCATGGACCAGCAAGAACACAAATAGGTCTGTCTGTCTTGGAGAGGGCGAAACCAAGTTTCTCCTTGGAGGCTAGGATTTTGAAGCTCCTTCTCACATACTTTGGGCAGGTGTCCAGGAGACACCAGTCCATGGAGAAGGACATCATGCTTGGAAGGGTGGAGGGACAGCGCAGGAGAGGAAGACCTGGATGAGGTGGATTGATACGGTAACTGGGGCAATAGGGATTGGTGTGTTCGAGTCATTGAGACCGGCTCAGGACAGGGCAGGCTTCAGAACTGTTGTACACAGGGTCACTGTAGGTTGCAGGTGACTCAACAGCACCTACCGACAGCATTTTGATTTGCTTACAAAGTTCATATACATTGTGTTTCATACAATCATTACCATTCATGATATTCTATAAAATTAATGAGCCCTGAGCTGTGCCCACTGTTACGTTCATGCGTACATGGACATGGGAGCGGCGTCCAGCTCTTGGTGTTTTGTAAATAAGGCCACAGTGAACATGACTCTGAAGATTCCGTTTATGTCACAGCTTTGAGTTCTTTGGAATATATACCTAGCAGTGGGTGTGCTGAGTGAAATGTTATTTTTATTTCCAAGTTTCTAAGGAAATGACTTAACCAACTTTTTTTTTGTTTTTTTTTTTTTTCATTTTATTCTCATTTATTTACAAAGATTGAATGCATTGTTTTTTCACAAAAGATCCTTCCCATTTCCTTCACCCACCCACCTATTGAATTGTGTAACCCTATGATTAACACCTTGCACCCCGTCCACACCTCTCTGTTTCCACCCTCCGCCCCACCTTGGATCCCTATACTCATTCTTCAACAATGGTTCTATACAGGATTTGTCCTGTGGGACTGAGTTCCCTCGGCATAATGCTCTCCAGTCCCTCCCAAGTTAGGTAGTAATTTACAAAATGATTGCTCCTGCGTGCTGTGGAGTATTCCATTGTGTGAACATACCACAGCTTCTCAATCCATTTGTTTGTGGTTGTATATCTGGGCTGTTTCCATGTTCTTGAGATTCAACTGACTTAAATATAAAAACCTTCTCACAAAGTCCTGATTGATTTAAACAAGAGGCTTCCAGCCCATAGCTGATTGTTAACTAAATCAAAATGGCCAATCAGCTTACACTTGGATGTTAATAAAATTAAAAAATGACCAAATAGTTTACACCTGACTTGAAATTAAATCAAAACAACCTACTTTCCATAATCAAACTGATTCACAAAGGAGGCTTCAAACTGGAGGCTCTTAGTAGGACGCAAGCTTGCATGCTGAAAGTGAGGAGGACTTGAAGTGTATGTTGCAAAAGATCAAGGAATGTTGCCTTCAGTATGGAGTCCATCTCAATGTCATGGACACAAATATTCTTACCACTGGGCTTATAGGCAACATCATGATGGATGGACACGCGATTGAATCTGACAACAGCTTCATCTTGCTTGGATCCACAATTAATACCCTTGGTACCAGCAGTCAGGAAATAAGGAGACGCGTTGCATTGGGTAAATCTGCAGTTAGGGACCTCTCCAAATTATTGAGGAGAAATGATGTGGGTTTGAGGACTATGGTGTGTCTGAATCAGACCATGGTCTTTCTGATTACTTGCTATGCTAGATCCGACAGTGAATAAGGATGACAGGGAAAGAATTGAAGCCTTTGAGCTGTGGTTTTGGAGAAGAGCACTGGACATTTCATGGGCGGCCAAGAGAACAGATACGTCTTGGAGAGGTTGCAGCGAGAGTGCTCTTTGGAGGCAAGAATGATGAGGCTTCATCTCACATACTTTGGGCTTGTTGCCAGGAGGTGCTTTTCCTTGGAGAGGGGCATGATGCTGGGAAGGATGGAGGGTCGGCAAAGGAGAGGAAGACCCTCAACCAGGTGGACTGACACAATGACTGCCACAGTGGGCTGTTGTGTCTCAAGAAGGGTAAGGATGGCACTGGATAGCATAGGGTTCAGATCCTTTGTTCATAGGATTGCTATGAGTCATACTCAACTCGACGGCACCCAACACTAACCTCACAACAAGGAAATGACAGATTCCTTTCCACGGTGTTTGCACCACTTTACATTCCCACCAGCAGGGGAGGCGGGTTCCCACAGCTCTACACCCTCTCCAACATTTGTTATTTGCTGCCTTGTTGACCTTTGCTGCTGTTGTCAGGGTGAGACAAAACCAAGTTATGTTTTGATTTGGTAAGAAGCTGCTCTGCAATCCGAAAGGCACGTGGTTCGAATCCACCCACTGCTTCTCGGGAGGAGGATGGGCCCTCTCCTCCCATGTGTTTAACTGCTTCTGTAAGCCGGCTGGAGGGTCAGCTGTGGGTCAGTCCCAGCTCCCCGGCCGTGAGGTCTAGGTTTTGAGTAGCTTCATCTTAAGCATTTCTTCCTTTCTGTTGACCACGTGGATGGGTTCTTCAACTTAGTGCTTTTCATCCTTTGCCGATGTTGTAATTGGGTGGTTTGTCTTATTGCACTTGCTGAGCTGGTGAAGTTTTCTATAAATTCTATAGCTGAAGCTCTCATTTATTGGATTATTGAGAAATCTTTTTCCCAGTTTGTAATCTTGTAAGGGGCAAAGACTATAAGTGGCTGTCTCCTCGGGACGTGGCTGTGTGCCTTGCACACAGAGGAGTCTTCAGAAAGAAGATTGCAAGCAGCTCTCATGAGCAAAATGAGAGGAAGCACAATTTATGATACAAAGAAGTCTTGCTTGATGTATGTTTTTTATCTAACTCTGTACCCAGCCCATTCGGGCCCTGTGAGGTAATTTTTAATGTTTCCATTTCTCTGTGAACAATTCCTTTGTTTTTGAATGCCAAAAGGTTTTGGGGTTCCTAGGCGCTAGTGGCCTGAGCGAGCTCTAGCCTTTTCTGGATTTACATTCTGCTTTGCTAGTCTTCCTTCAGCTCCACCCACGAGAAACAACATCATCTCTTTTTCGATTCTTTTTAAAAGGACCAGATTGTTTCTCCTCCAGGGATTGTACATTTTTAGTTACATGATGAAGGTCTGTTTATGCTTTGACAGGGCTCCACAGTCTGCCTCAGTGGGTTTTTTTCTGTGATGATCTTTATAGTTTTGCGTTTTACATGTTGGTCCTTGACCATCATCTTGAGTTAGTATATGGTGTGAGGTGTGGATCTTGTTTCAGTTTTCTGGAAATAAATACTGAGTTTGCCACACCATTGGTTAGAAGCTTTCTTTTCTCCACTTGATGCAAAGACGGGCTCGCACAGAACCAGTGGTAGGTCTCGCCTGACAGCAGGCTCACGTGGGAAGCGGTGCCTGCGCGCTCTAGCTCCCTCCGTAACAGTCCTTCCGGCCCAGGGGGTGAGTGACAGTGTCGTTCAGGTTAGACGGCCCCATACGTATGTGTGTCATGGGCATTTGAACCATATTAGACTCTGAGGTGTCAGAAATCCCCCAGCGAGGACGGAGCCAAGAGAGGCCCTGCTGGCCCTTGGAGTTGCACAGTTCAGCCTTTCCCTCTGAGCAGGGCGAGCTCCCAGGGCCGTCAGCCCGGCTTCCCCTCCCTCCTTCCTCATCACCTCAGCACCTTCTCTTGCTTTGCTTCCACTCAGCCCCTCTCTCATTACCTAGAACCCCGTACTGAGGAGGGGTCCAGCGAGAAGGAGGCTGGTCAGTGTGGAGAGAGGACATGTCAGGGCTGGTGGGAGGGGCCTTTCTAGCCCTCTCTTCTCCCTTCAGGGGGTTCAGGGCAAAGCCGACCCTCAGCGCTAACGCCAGGTCATAGCCAGCCTGCCCTTGGCAAGATCGTGACTCCGCAGAGGCCCGTCAGGTTCCCAGCGGAGATCTTTGACCCGTCATAGCTCACTGCCCAGCTCCTCCAGTGACTTCACTGCCACGCTTTGTTAATTGGAAGCCGGAAGTAAATCCTTACAGCTGTAGGTCCTTCCAAGACCAAATGCTCTGTGGAAATGGCAAAATATTCTTTCTAGCAAAGGCCCAGAGGGCAAGGTGCAGCAGTGATTGCATCCCTGTATAGTGTCAGGTTTATTTGATGATCTTGAGTCAATTGCAACTCATAGTGACCTCAGGTCCACAGAAGAAAACTCTGCCTCGACCTGCCCCACCCTGCCCACCCTGCCCCATCCTATCCTATTCTGCCTGCCCTCGCCCTGTCCCTCCCCCACACTGCCCTGCCCTGTCCCATCCTAGCCTTCTCCACCCTGTCCTGCCTCACCCTGCCCTCCCCCACACTGCCCTGTCCCTCCCCACCCCATCCTAACCCGTCCGCAGAGCCCCTCTGCCTGAACTGTCTGTTCTTGTCTTGTCTCATTGCGGGCCGCCTTCTCTCTCTCGGACCCTCCATTTTTCCAAGTCTGATGTCTGTCTCCAGAGGTGGGCCCCTCGTGATAACAAGCCCACTGTGTGGACGGAGTGCCCAGCAGCTCTCTGAGTAACTGTGCCGATGTCATTGCTTTGCAGCTGTTGTCCAAGCCCAAGTTCAGTGGGGTGGAGAAGATCAAGACCATCGGCAGCACATACATGGCGGCGACGGGTCTGAGCGGGGTGCCCAGCCAGGAGCTCGCCCAGGTACTGAGACAGCTGTGAGTGGGGGTGTGAGGCCCCGCCCACAAGTCCTCCTGCCCAAATAGGCACCCAGGCACCCACCCCGGTGCCCGGTGGGCAGTGCAGGCTCGGTGATGAGGTCCTGTGAGGAAACCTGGAAGTTCTGGGAATTTCTGGGATTCTGTGTGTTCTCAGAACTCCTTTCTTTGGGTTTTCAACTGCACACTTAGCCACCACACCACCGCTGGACGTTTCGTCTGGTGACGCCGGGCAGCTGCTGGAGGGAGTGCATGAACCGAGAGGCCAGATGGGCGCCGCCCGCTGCACTGCTGACTCCGGACACGCATCCACCGGAGTCCAGCCCCCACCTGGACGTGGATCCAGGCCCCTCTGCCCGTCTCACTTTCCTCTCTGCCAGCACGTCGAGGTGTCTAGAGCTTGCCTGGAGTTCATTGGTTAGGGGTCTCTCCTCAGACCAGCTCCCAGGGCAGCCTTCTGTGTGTTTGCCCCCCTGCCAAGTCAGAGCTCACAAGTTCGTAGGGCTGTGTCCTTCAGACGCCCAGATGGGCCAGTGCTGGCCTCTGGTGGCTCTCCTGCCCCCGGTGGTCCATGATTCCATGAAGGCCATGGTTTGATCGTTGGGGCGATTCACGGAAGTCACAGTCTCCTATCCTTCCAGTTACTCATGAGTTATCACTGGAGAGGGTGTGAATTCAGGTCTCAGTCGGGGAGGGCTCCAGTCTCCAGAGCTCCACTGTCCCATGGACACGCCGCCTCCCACCTGCAGGCTTACGCTCTCACCAGCCTGGGAAGCCAGCTGCTTCCTGGCCAGGGCCTTTTGTAGCATTGCAGTCTTTTCCTTCTTGTTGTTGTTGTTGTTGTTGTTGTTAGCAAGTACAACGCATAGCAATGCTGTCAACAGCCCCCCTGAACCCTGCCTGCCCCATCCTGCGCCGTCGTTCTTGGCTCTGCGCACTAGAGCCCACTGCTACTTGGGGGCCTTTATCACGTGATTGTGATCAGTCGAGTCCTTGAACACTTGGATGACGGTATTGCACTGGTCTTCAGCTGAGATTTGCCGTCAGGGTGGGGTCTGGGTGACCCACAGACTTCTGAATGTATTTTCAGGTGCAACTCCATTGCTAGGAAATTCAAGGACTATCTCTCAGGAACCAGAAACAAGGCCAAATCCCAGTTGGTAGCAGATGAACAGAGGGTAACGTTGAGTGAATTATCCAGGAAGTAAGGTGGCCACAGACTTATCTGTAGGAGTGAACAGTTTAACATGGACTGACATGAAATTGCTCACAGCAAATTACAAGGAACATCGATTCAGAATGAAAATGACTACAGATTGACAGCTGCTGTGTGGTTGGTGCTGTTGAGTTGGAACTGACCCATAGCTGACCGTCCAGCGGGTTTTCAGAGGAAGTTTATCATTTCGGAAGAGATTGCCCATCTTTCTCCCACGGAGCTATAAAAATTAAAAAAATGGGCTAGAACACTACAGAGATACGGGATTGCCAGAGGCTCAAACAGGATTTAGAAGAGACCATGGCACCAGGGATATCATTGCTGGTGTCGGATGGATCCTGGCTGAAAGTAAGGAACACCAGAAGAACGTCTATTTGTGCTGTATTGACTATGCAAAGGCTTTTGACTGTGTGGACCATGACAAGTTGTGGCTGACATTGAGAAGAATGGGAATCCTAGAGCACTTGATTGTGCCCATGAGGAACCTGGACCAGGAGGCTGTTGTGTGAATAAAGCAAGGGAGCACTGTTGTTGTTGTTGTTATGTGCTGTCGTGTACAACTCATAGCAACCCTATGAACAAAAGATCTGAACCCTGTTCTAGCCTGTGCCATCCTCACACTTCCTGACTCACAAGAGCCCATTGCAGCGGTCACCTTGTCAATTCACCTGGTCAAGGGTCTTCTTCCCCAACTCTCCACCCTTCCTAGCACCAGGTCCCTCTCCAAGAAATAGCCCTTATTAGAAATATTACATGGCTTAAAATTAAAAGGGAGTGTGTCAGGGAATTCTCTGTTCATACCTATTCAGTCTGTATTTGACAAGTTGGACTCTATGAAGAAGAATGCAACATCAAGATTGGAGGAAGACTCATCAGTAATATGTGTTATGCAGTTGACACCACCTTGCTTGCTGAAAGTGAGGAGGGCTTGGAGGACTTGTAGAAGATCAAAGAATACAGTCTTCAATGTGGATTGCATCTCAGTGTAAAGAAAACAAAGTTTCTTGCCATTGAACCTGTAGGCAACATCCTGATAGATGGTGAAAACACTTAAGTTGTCAATAATTTTATCTTTCTTGGATCCATATTCAATACCTTTGGTTCCAGCAGTCAGGAAATCAGGAGACATTATTGCATTGAGAAAGTCTGCAGTCAAGGACCTCTCAAATTATTGAGAAGTATGAGGTCAGTTTGAGGACTAAGGTGCATCTGATTCAGGCCACGATCTTTCTGTCACTTGCTGTGCATCTGAGAGCTGGACAGTGAATAAGGATGACGAAGAAGAGTTGATGCCTTTGAGCTGTGGTGTTGGAGAAGAGCACTGACCATCCGATGGACGGACAGAAGAGCAAACTCATGTGTCTTGAAGGAAGTACAGCTGGAGTGCTCTTTGGAAGCAGAGATGGTAAAGCTTCCCCTCACATGCATCAGGCATATTACTGGAGGGGCTATCCCTTGGAGATGGAAATGGTGCGCAGAAAGGCAGAGGGGTGGTGAAGGTGAGGAAGACGGTCAACCACATGAAACTGGGGGGGTGGGAACTGGCCATCCGTGCTCATTGCCTGGCTCTCACACATGTAGGGTGCTATGTATATATAGAATACATGTATGATATAGAAACTGTGGGGACAGGGATGCTGCGAACGTTCCCAAGATGCAGGGCAGCATGACCTTCCCCAGGACGACTAGAGGGTAGACACGGGTCAGCTAACGTGTTTATACAGCTCTGTGGGGTCCTAACCCCCATGTCTGCAGCTCTGAGATATCCTAACCCCTGTTTGTACAGCTCTGTGGGGTCCTAACCACCATTTGTAAAGCTCTGTGAGGTCCTAACCCTCGTCTGTACAGCTCTGTGGGGTCCTAACCCCTTTCTGTACAGCTCTGTCAGGTCCTAACCCCTGTTTGTACAGCTCTGTGGGGTCCTAATCTTCTGTGTACAGCTTTGTGGGGTCCTAACCCCCCATGTCTGCAGCTCTGTGGAGTCCTAACCCCCATCTGTATAGCTCTGTGGGGTCTTAACCCTCTGTGTACAGCTCAGTGGAGTCGTAGCTCTCAGACTCAGCTCTTGCATGTATGTGGGTGTGGAAGCCCTGCTCCCCCCTGGGAGACTGCAAGGAGTCCTCACCCTCAGCTGTGTTATAGGAGCCGGAGAGGCAGCACCTGCACATTGGCACCATGGTGGAGTTTGCGTTCGCACTGGTGGCAAAGCTGGAAGCCATCAACAAGCACTCCTTCAACGACTTCAAGCTGCGAGTGGGTAAGCTGGGAGCTCGGGCAGCCGCGAGTGGGTGAGCCTGGCAGCTCCGAGCAGCTGCGAGTGGGTGAGCTGTGCAGCTTGGGCACCTGAGAGGGCGAAGGACTGGAATATGGGCTGGTGGGCCCATCTCAGGGACTCAGAGACAAGGCTACAGGTATTTCCTCAGGTCGATGCCTGTCCCCAGGTAGATACAGGTCCTCAGGTAATGCTTGATGTTCTCAGGTAGACGCATGTCCTCGGGTAAATACATGTCCTCAGGAAATGCATGATGTTCTCAGGTAGACATACATCCTCAAGTATGTGCATGTCCTCAGGTAGACGCACATCCCCAGGTAGATACACGTCCTCAGGGAATGCATGATGTTCTTAGGTAGACACACATCCTCAGGTAGGTGCATGTCTTCAGGTTGGGACATGATGTCCTCAGGTAGACACACGTCCTGAGGTAGCTGCACATCCTTAGGTAGGTGGACGTCCCGGGGGAGATGCAGGCCCTCAGGTAAGTACATGTCCTCAGGTAGGTTCATGATGTTCTCAGGTAGGTGCACCTCCTTGGTAGGTGCACGTCCTCGGGTAGATGCATGCTCTCAGGTAAATGCACGTTCTCAGGTAGGCGCACGTCCTCGGGTAGATCCATGCCCTCACATTGCACTCACCCCCAAGGCACATCTGCTCAAGTTAGGAAAAGATACCTTCTGGGTGATACAAAGACCTCACTCACTGTGCCCTACAGACCTGAGCTTCATGGCCACTGTGCTTTTTTAAGAAACTGAGGGTCTGTGACAGTCGCGTGGAGAAATCTGTCAGCATCCTTCCTGCCCCAGCTCATGCACTTCTTGTCTGTGTCACATGTTGCTCAGTCTGAAAATGCTTTAAGCTTTTTCTTTTTTAAAAAAAAATATTTTAATTGATTTGCTTACAAAGTTATACTTTGTGTTCCACACCATTCTTCATTCACACATTCATATTGTGTTTCATACAATCATTCTCATACATTGTTTTATAAACTTGATCGTCATTGGCCCTTGCCCATCATTACCGTCTTTTCACCCAGATCCTTCCCCTTCCTTCAGCTCACCACCTACCTCCTTCCTCGCACCCCCTCAGTCCACTTGTTGTTGTCGTACTCCTTTGGGTCAGTTCTCTCTCATCTGTTCCAATGCAGTCTTCATTATCTAGCCACTTTTTTCCTATGTAAGCTCTCCATAATATTGTAATTAATTTTACTTGGATCTACAGTCAACACCCATGCTAACAACAGTCAAGAAATTAAAAAGTAAAAAATGTTGCAATAGAGAAATATGCTGTCAAGGACCTTGCCAAAGTGATAAAGAAGTGTTGTTTTTAGTTGTTTTGTATGCATCTGAAAGTTGGTCAGTGAATAAGGAAGAGTGAAGAAGCGATGCTTTTGAATTGTAGTGTTTTAGAAAAGCACTGAGTAACCCACGGGCCACCAAAAGAGCAAGCAAGTCTGTGCTGAAAGGAGTAAAACCAGCGTGTTCCTCAGAGGCAAGCATCAGGAGCCTCTATCCCACTTACTCTGGGCACATTCTTGGGAGGAACCAGTCTCTGGAAGAGAAACCAGACTGAGAAAAACGGGGTGGGGGTGGGGGTCAGAGAAGGAGAAGATGACCCCAACAAGATGGGTTGACACATGACTGCAGTGGTGGGTTCATGCTGGGACATGAGGACGGTGCATGACGGGGCAGTGTTGCACTGTTGTTCAGGGGCTGCTGTAAGCTGGACCT